AAAAAAAAAAAAAAAACACATCATAGCAAAATTAATACCTTCTCAGCTTCGCTTCGAAGCTAAAAAAACAGTTGCAGCGCACACAACAAAAAATCACGATTGCTACGGACGAAAATTAACCGACAACCAATTCCGATAATGGCTAATTTCCGACAAAATTTCCGTCGTTTAATTCGGCGGTACGTTGGCGACAACACGGCTAGCCTCTAGAGTAAGGGACAACAAATTTTAATACTCAGTGCCGGAAATTATTAAGAATATTTTGAATCATCACATATCATAATAATAAGGCGACAATGTGGGTGGTGAGTAGTGCAAATGACGTTCAAGATAGGAAAGGAGCGGGGTAAATGTACATACAAATGCCGTCCATGAACCGGTCTGAAGTAGTACACAGCTGATTATCTTGCACGCGCACAAACAAATCACAACATCTTATCCTGATTACTTAACTGATAAACGCCGTCGCAGTACGCATTCGGCCTAACCAAGATAATTCAGAACACAAATATATATATATATATATATATACAAATAGAAAAAAAAAAATAAACAGATACTTTTTGTAACGTTACATACTGNAAAAAAAAAATTATATTGATTCGGTCATTTTTGAAAAAGTTATGGCAATTTTAAGTAAAAAAAAATGAAAAAATATCGAAAATTAGCGATTTTTAAATTTGTAATTTTTTGGGGGATTTCCCCCGTTTACGGGGAACGAGGGATTTTTTTTCAATTTTTAAGGGTAATGTCTTCAACAAGATACGATTTGTGATCTTTTGACGTATCGTAGAAAGACATCGGTCTTGTGTAAGTTAAGAAAAAGTGGCGACAGACATATAAAAAAAAAAAGAAATACATCTTAGTAAAATTAATACCTTCTCAGCTTCCCATTAAAGCTAAAAATTGTAAAAAACATTATATATTATTATTGTGCTATTTTCACATAGTACGGGGGACTTTTGTTTTATTGCTGCGCAGTTATTTTATTTTTAAAGACAATGTATCTCTTTTGTCGGTTNTTGTTTTATTGCTGCGCAGTTATTTTATTTTTAAAGACAATGTATCTCTTTTGTCGGTTCCTATTTTTTTTTTTTAATTTATAATTTTGATTTAACATATTGACTTTTTTGAAAAAATTGCTATTTTGAATCCGTCCCGTGGGCAGGTAAAAAGTCAGGTTTTCAATAAATTTATCAAATGAAAGAAAAATACCTTAAGTTTCTATACAAAAAAAATTATATTGATTTGATAATTTTTCAAAATGTCATGGCAGTTTTAATAAAAAATAATTGAAAAAATATTGAAAATTAGCGATTTTTAAATTTTTAATTTTAAAATTTTTTTAAAAACAATGTGTCTCTTATTGTGGGTTGAAGATACGGTGATTGCTTTTG